TGCAAGTGTTTTGTGATGATGGTTTAGTAGTGCTCACTTACAAAATATGAATGCTGGGGAACTAAATAACTGAGGTTTGTGAAATGTGCTGTGATCTAGAGATGACAGATACTAGACAATGCCCTGATCCTGCATGTGTTTACCTTTACTGCTGAAATGAGCCAATTGACTTCAGTGGAACAAAGGACAGTAGTAAAGTGTCTGCAGTTTCCTGAGCCAGTCATCTGGAAATCAAGTGGAGTAAGTCAACTGAAACTTTAAAAAATAATTTCAAAACAATTTGTTGGAATTTAGACCCCTCACAATTTTTTAAAATAGGCATTAATTTAAATTTCAAATTGAGAAGTAATTTCTACTCTAAAAATGAAACTTTGAGATTTAGAAACTAATTAAATGAAATGCTTAAATTATTACTTAACTTTTCCCCCGAACTTTTGTTTTCAAAAAGGAAATCCACCCTAGCCAATTTTTTTCTGCAAATAGTTTTGGTTTTGGTATTTTCTGGTATAACATAATTTCCTCAAAAACTCCTCAATAGCTTCATTAGTGCAGGGCAGGAATGACTTTTAGACCATTTGTTACTTCTTTCTTTCTCTTCTTAGGACATCTGCTGCACTGTTAAATCTATCTGAATAAAGAGCTTTTTTAAATAGAGGACACTTAAAAACTATTTACCCTTCAAAAACAGAACAGGAATATATTTCATAATTAAAAACCATGTCTCTCGAAGGACAAAATTTACTGAGGAACTTTCTTTTTTATTAGCCTCCTTTTCTTTGGAGATTACATTATTGTTAGTAGAATATATCATATTGCAAGTTTATCTTCATTTATCAGCTCAACCAAGCACTTACCAAGAAGGGAACAATCCCTTTACAAAATTTTTTTAGTTAATTGTGAGCAAATATCAGTTAGAAGTACTTTGCAAGTCCCAGATCCTGGTGCCTAGTTAAATTCTCAGTCTTGCACCCAGGCTTCACTTACTAGGTTTGGGGACATACTGGGTACCTAAAGAAACCTCAGAAGCAGGCTAAGAAGGGAACTGCATACATTATTCAGGGATGAAAAGCATAGGGAAGGGACAGGGTTTAGCTACCCAGGATGGAGACTTGGCCAAAACAGTTGCCTATCTGGCTAAATAGGTATCTGTTTCATTTTGGGATCCTAGGTGAACCTTCTCCTGTTTGCCCAAGCATATACTGAGATCTCAATATAACTTTGAGGTTCTCCACATCCTAGGCACTTGCCTGGGATATAGAGAACCCTAGGTAGCAGGTGAGGCAGCTTTAAATTTTTAGGTTGTTAAAGGAACAGATAGGTATCTAAGTAGTTCTGAGGATCAAGGTGTGAGTGAGTTAGGAATACAAATGAATCACAAATCTCACTGAAAGTCAATGGGATCTTTGCTCTTAATTTAGTCCACTCCCCACAGCTGTGGATTCTGGAGGTGTCCTTGTTCTGATACAGCATTTCTAATTGTTTTATACATAGTTTTAGAAAACCAAATAGATCCCAAAGCATGAATGGAAAGGGCCATGCTGAAAACACTACACTCTTTTCCATTACATTTTTTTCAAGGCTCTGATCTCCAATGCACAATTTTGTTGTCTATCATGGTCAGGCATTTTCAGATCCTAATGGTGAAGAACACACGCATGGGGCAAGCTGAGAAGAAAGGAAGGTAATTAAACAGAGTGACATTTTGACTTTGTAAATGTAATTCCTATTTTCCATATGAAGAATTTGGAAAGTATTTGCCTGTACACATATCAGTCTATCAGAAACCAGTCCTGGGCACTGGCCTGGTTCTTTACCTCAGACACACAGGTTTTTTTCCACTGGGACTGAAATTCAATGGGGAAACTTTCCAAGTAGCAGAAAGAGCTAAATTACAAATATATATTAGCATAAATATAACAGACTCAGAGCCAAATCCAACTGACTAGAAGGTATGCAAATAAGACTGAAAAAATCATTAATACCTATTCTTTAAGGCACAGTTGCCCATATTATGGTTTCATTTAAGGATCTCTGATAATTATTATCTAGGACACAATGGAAGAGCGTACCCCAAGGTTTCTAGCTCAACTGTCTTCAGCTTTAAGATACAGTTCACAAATATAGAAGATAACTGATTTTCCTTGTCACTCAAGACAGGCTTTATTTCTAATTAAATAGAAATAGCTTATTATTGAAGATTAGTTAAGTGATAAATATACACCAGTTTGTATTTAGCTAACTATTCTATATTCAGTCAAAAAGGTAATCCAGTTAAGGTACCCATTGCATATAAAATAGCCAGATGATTATAAGATTAATATATACTATTAAGGCACAAAACTATGTAAAAAGTGTGTGTGTATGTAGTAAAGGAGCACTCAGGGATTAACAAGAAGAGGGTTAACAGTGAAAGAAAGGCTGCAGCTGTGCACAATTGCCATGATAGCAGGGCTGGGTCATCTGTTCTGAATTAAGTGAGCCTTCCCAGCACTTTATAAGTAGCAGGTTAGGAAGGTGAAGAGTTGGTTTGTTGGTAGTAGGAGCTGCTTTACTGTTGAAGGAACAAGGTGAAGAAAGGAGGAAAGAGGAGAATGGAGAGATCTTTTGCTTCTTTATTCTTCTTGCTGCTTTTTTTTTTTTTTTGAAACCAGGGTCCTATCTTGGCTGCCCAAAGCCCTTGCTGGGCTGTTCACTTTAAAACTTAGCTGCAGGAGTTTTGGTTGCTTGGCTCAGGGATTAGAAATCAAGCTGAAGGGACTGTGCTTTGAAAAGCTGACTCCAGCTCTGTGTTCAGATATATATGGACGGCTCCATGAATTGTGAGGCAGACCTTCAACCCCATGTCAAACTCTGTGGGGAGGTCATTTAGGTTCTTTAGAGCTAGTTCCAAAAAAGCTCTAGCAAGCATGTTGACAGAATTAAGAGTCCCTAGTTTATTGGCCCCATTCCTGGTTTTAGATTATCTGATTCCCCCACCCCAGTTTACCTACTACAGTTGAGAGAAATAATTTCCAGTTAGTGAACATACAGGGACTATGGGATATATGCAACTCCTTCCAGATGCACACTGGAGGGAAGACTCTGGAAAATATATAGCTTTTGGGTAACAGAGTCTTCATTCATTTTCCCCTTTGCAAAGGGGACCTGTGTATGTGAGTAGGGGGTTCATGAGTAGGTGTCACGAAGCATGATGAATGTGTAAAACAAGTGGCATCCACTCATGTTGCTGAATTACCCACTACGCTGCCAGTAATGTCAGCCCAAATACCACCCCATGGTGTTCTTGCACATTTTTTCCTAGGCCTATCCCATCCTACTCCACATGTGAGACATTCTGTGGATACTTATTTGACCTTTTCATATCTTTCCCCAAAAGCTCACTTTTGCAACAGCGCCTCCACAAAGATGGATTAGTAAGGAGGGGTATGGAGAACACAGCTATTTAGGGCATAATCTTGTTCATGGAGACTTGCTCAACTCTTCTATTATACATCCTGCAATGTTTTAGAAAGAATGTGGACTATTCTAGGGCAAAAAGAAAGAATGTTCTATACTTTCTATAAGGTACTTTAAACACTTATGGACATGAGTAATTATCATGAAAGTCCACTTGTGAACTTTTTGATGAGGAATAGATATCCAATGTAATAACTGAAGGGCTACTTCATACCTGAAATATTAAGAAATAACAATGATGATAGAAAAGCCTATTGTGGCAATTTAAAACTTCACAGTCATAAAACAATAGAGAATAGATCTGGATAGATAGACTTACTGCTCTCTCAAAGGGCTTATCATTTGGGAAGGTGTAGTAAAAAAGAACACCCCAGAACATTTGCTTGATTTCAAGTACTCATTGGATGCTTGCACAATTAATCTGAATCATTAAACATATTCAAAAATTGATCTGCCAACACAAATAATTTGTAGTACCCCGCAGTTGATTTGTTCCATAGGGAGAGGGGAAGAGGGATTTACATGTCGGCTTACAGTGAGTATCAAGACTGAAGTCAGTAAGCTAGTCCAGTGTCTTCAAGAGCCAAAAGAGCTTGAATTCTGTCTTATACAAATGATCTGTCCCCATGACCACATTGTTGGCATGTCATGAGAACAGAGTGGTTGCCATACTGAATTACATTTTTCTTGTCTGATATCCTGTCCTTGGCAATAGCCTGCAGCAAATCCTTTTGAAGAAAACAAGAGAATATTAGAAACCAAATAGCAATGAAAACTCCACTCTGTTGGAATTTTCCCCCCATTTCTGATGGGACACTTCCTTAGAGATATAGTTACATGTTGGTAGGGGCAAATAAATATGCTGTGGCAGGAAAGCAGAGAAGAAAGAGCCTTTCTCAGGACCACCTAAAGAGACCACCTATATTGCTATCTTTCCATTTGCACTTGACTTAAAAACTTGATTTACATTTTGACTTAACATTGGATAACATAGTAGCATCACATGATAAAATACACTTGCTGTAGGATTTAGACCTGTAGAAAAATCATCATCTCTGAAACACAGAGACATGACTGATACTGGCCAGAATCTAAATACCATGTTTTGGGCCTCTATATTTTTCACTTGAAATGAAAACTAGTCCTTTCCTACCTTAAAGGAGAGGTAAAAGAAATAAGAAGTGAGAGCAGAAGGAAGAGACAATGTGTGTGTTGCCACTTTTCTGAATGTGACTGCATATATTCGCTAGAAATGAATATGAAAATGACTATAGAAGCTGCTCGACACCATTAATATGACCACTCTACATTGTTTTAATAAAATGAATGCCCATGTTTGTATCTGGAAATCTTCATACTGTATCTCTATAGCTATTTGTCATGTTTCTTTAATGCCACAGCTGTTTGGTTGTACCAGGTCATCTGCTTTTATTAGTCCTTTTCCCAGTGCCCTGTGAAACTCACACCAGTCATGAAAAAGATGCTTATCTCAGTCCAAAAATAGCACCTGCTCCTCATACCCCTCCTTTCAGTGTCTCTGGGCACTTCAGTGTTTTAATTCTTTTCCAAGTTTCAAGCCTACTACTTCTACCATGAAGGTTGGGATAGCAGCTTTTATAGCAGGAATCCTTGGTGGGATTGGTGTTCTACTGTTTCTCATATCTTTTGGAACAGATTATTGGCTGCTAGCTACAGAGACATGTGGTATCTTTGAACCTGGAAATAACACTCTTCAGACTGAGGAGGTAAAAGCAAGTAGTTTTGTGATATTCTGCAAGAAAAACATGCTTTAAAAAATTCCATAAAAATGTTAAATCTGCCACAGAAAATAATGTAACTGGTGGTGCTGTTAGTTTTTTAATATGTGATAGTTAACACATTCAGTGCATAAAAACTCAGTCTATGAAGCAGGAACTAGCACCTCCATATTTTATGCTACTAACAAAGACGTGATTCAAAGAATACATAGGAAGCCCCGAGGAGAAACCTTTATGATACTGTGATAGACATGGGACACAAAGTTGAAATTTAAGATATAATAGATTTATTCTCTTACAACATTTGCTTCTAAAGGCATTTATTTCCTGATGTCATCATCATTAAAGTTTTTTCTTTAATTTCTGCATATGACTAATATTTTATATTTAATATGTAGATCTTTCTGATCAGTTAAATCTCAAGTGTCTCTAACACAGATAGTCAAGTGAAGGGAACACAAAATGTGTGGCTTAAAGTACATAAGACCTCATTCTGTCTGTTTACTTAATATGGTGAGATGGCTAAGTGTTTCAAAATTTGGCTTTAAGAAAAATATAGGATTTTTGATATCAGGGAACATTGTTTAATTTTTGCAGTATTGTGCAGCATTTTATTGCATTTTGAATCATTAAAATTAATAGTTTATTGCTCCATTCTGATATGGTTCATGTACAGATCTCTTTGAAACCTTGAGTTTTAGCTGAATTTACTTGTGGTGAAATATTTAATTCCTTATTAAGCTCTATGGAATGACAGTTGAATCAGCTTCATGAAACTAAATTCTTCTCAAACATTTTTCTTCCAGTCCCCATGTATGGTTTTATTACCAATTTTCAGAAATGCTGTATTCTTTTGTTATGCAGACTTTTCTTTACTTCAAAGTTCAATCCAATTATATTTGATTTTTATGTTATGTGATTCACTTGTGGAAAACTTCATGAGGTTAGCAATAAGCATCTTCCATAGCTTGAGGATTTCATAATACAGAATAGCTTGCTGGCTGTATGAGTCAGATTTCCAAATGACTGTCTATCTCAAGAAGCAAAATGATGATAGAAAGATGACTTCCCAGCAGACAAATAATCTTTGTATAAAACAGCACAATAAGACTCTGAAGATGGCAGACTGTAAAACTTTAACAGGCATAAAAGTACAGTTCAGATTTTTTTTCACTTAGGAAATGAAATGACGTTTTCTTTCCTATAGCTTATTTAAAAAAATATACTCTGTTGTATTTAAAGTGAAAGGATTACAAGGCAAGCGCTGATGTACTGCATTAAATAAAACAAACCTCTCAGACATTTCACATATGTTGTTAGGCCAACTGTTTGCACATGACACATTCAGAGGGATCCTGAAAAATGCCAGTTGGGAGTAGGAACAACTTTAACTCTTGCCCTTGAGGTTTTTGCTTTTATTCTATGCAGTGTCTTTGTAATTGAATTGTTGCTCCATGCCCTAGGCTGCAGTTTATATTTTTCCTTGCTCATCCCTTTGTAACAGGCAGACTTTAGCCATTGAGAGTCTTGGTTATTGGCCAACTGGTGGCCAAATGAAAGTGCAGATTTAGCAAGTCATCAGTCGCCCATTTGATGTTGTTGTGCAGCTTCTCTGTTGTCAGAGTTAGGTTCAGACCTAGTCTGAAAGCAACAGCTTTTCAAGGGGGAGAGTGTCTCTTGCCAAATTAGTACAAGCTGTACTTTGGTCTTTTGGTGTTTAAGTCCTGCTTAACTGAGACCCATCACTCTTTCTCTCCGCTGAAGCCGGGTGGATTTATCCAGTGAGATATAGAACACTTCAAGTCCCTTGAATATAATGCTTTCTAAGAGCTGCTCCACACTTCACCCAGTCAAGTTCTACAATAGTAATAGTGCTTCTTTATCAAACTGTGCATGAGAACAATTGATTTAATTACAGCTCTAATTATTTTCCCAGCAGAACAGCTGGGACATTTCCACTCTTGAAATAGCCTTTGAAATGACCTTGTGCTTTGAATAACCTTTGTACACATGGCAGTGGATGGGGCAAAATGCATCAAGATGCTAATATTCCCAAAATGAGGAGACTGATATAGAAAAAGAGAAACTCCTATCTGAGCTAACCTTTTTGCATTCAGCAAAGAAACAGAGAGAGAGAAGGGTTGGGCCAAACCTTTCTGGATCATCTAGTTCACTACAAACTGTGTTCTGAAGAACCCTGGGGGTTCACAGTTGGTAACCAGGGATTCTCTGCAAAGAGATTGGTGATAAAATGAATGGAAAAAGGTTAGCTCAGAGTGGAGTTACTCTTTTTATATATCGGTCTCCTCATTTGGGAACATATACACAGGTAAGCGACAGGGGCCAGGGCAATGCTGAAAGTAGGGGGTCAGTGCACACATCCACAGGAGGCCTCAAATGCCTCTACACAAATGCTCATAGTATGGGAAACAAGTAAGAGGAACTTACCCTCCTGCTATCTGACACCAACCCAGACATAGTGGGGATCACTGAAACGTGGTGGGACCCAACGCATGACTGGGCGGTGAATATCAAGGGCTATAGGGTGTACAGGAGGGATAGGACAGGGAGGAAAGGTGGGTGCGTGGTGCTCTACATTAAGGAGCAATACACATCCTTGTCAATTAACAAAGAATCAGAAGTGCACACGGAAGTGCTCTGGGTTAGAATACAAGGCAGTCGAGGGGAAAGAGACTTAACGGTGGGGGTCTACTACAGACCTCCCAACCAAGGGGAAGAGCTAGACCAGGAATTCT